TAGAAAGACTTGCAAGGCAAGGACAAAGGGTCTCCTTGCTGAAATTGGTGCGACACTTATAGGAAAATGTTCTAGAACCTTTCTTTGTGTCCAAAAATGCTTAGGAAACCTTCAATGTTGCTGAAACTTAATGCTATTTAGGTTTAGGAAAGATCAACCCAAAATAGGAAACTTTAGGCTTAACTTTCTTACTTCAAGTAGGAAACCTTGTTTGAGTAGGAATCCTCGTTCTTCTAGGAATCCATCTTTGACTAGGACTCCTCCGTTGATTAGGAATCCTTCTTCAATTAGGACTCCTTCGTTGATTAGGAATCCTTCTTCAATTAGGACTCCTTCGTTCTTGTCCATTCCTTTCGTTCCAAGCATGTGATATCCATTTCAAGCTCAATTTTGCTCCAAAAGGCTCCAAAATGCACCACTTTGCATACTTTGCCCTTAAAACCTGAAAACATATGAAAATAGCTTAAAAGACTACTTTAACTAAGAAAACACAACGTAAATGCACAAGAACAAGCTCACTAAGTCGCATAAATATGCTCCTATCACGATGATATTTTCACTTATATGGTAGCTATCGACATAAATGAAAAGTAATGATATCGAACCGTGTTCCGTTGATTAGTGACAATGTAGAACTGATTGGACAACTGAAATTACAATCCAGGTCAAATTCCTTACCAAAGTGTGTATTGGACCTGTCGTTCCTACGCTGCCTAACGTAACCCTATTATGTTACAAGTGGGAAAGGAAACGTTATGAGATGAATGAAATAATGCGATATGATGCACGCCTTACGACGTAAGGTTTCTCTCAAAATGTCCTGTGATTGATAGTAGAATTATGAAATGTGGTTAGTTTCTCCATGGGGATATAGATACAGAGATTGACATGTAAGTTCCCGAAGAATTTTATGGACTGGTTCAAATAATTCCAAAACCACGAAACACCCTCTTAACTCATTTTGAGGTGTTCACTTATGGATTGAAAAATCCGACGGATGTGATATACCCATCTACATGATTATTTGATCAATCAGGGATGATTTATGCCCTCGTGTGTGAAACTATGAAGTCTTATTCCAAATTGCTAGAGTTACAGTTTATGTCATTGACACGAATCTCACTAAAACTCTAGAAGAGCTTGAGAAAACTGCCTCGCACCTAAAGATGGAATTTGAGATAAAGGATCTTAGGAAAACTCGTTTATGCCTAGACTTGAAGTTGAAGCATTGTTCTTACGGTATTTTGGTCTACCAGTTGAACTACACCCCGAATGTGTTACCTTTGAGTATACCTATGATCATCCATATGTTATATGCAAATGAGATCCTTGAAGAGGTTATGGATCCGAAATTCCATGTCTAAGTTCAAGTTTGTGCTTTGTTGTACTTAGCTCATTGTATTTAGACATGACATCTCATTCGCTGTTGATCTTGGTAAAGATGCAGCATCACGCCTACACGCATCCACTGAATTGGTATTAAAGACGTACCCTGAAGGTATTAAGAGGGCAAATCCGAACGCATCTCGAGCATATCTAACCCCCTGATCATCGGAATGATACTTGCCTTTTTTGTTATGTTGACATTGGTTACTTATCAAACCTACACAAGGCAAAATCCCCAAATGGTTATGTTTTTACCGTTAGGGATATCGCAATATCTTGGAGGTTCACGATATGACCTTAGTTGTGAAATCTTTGAATCGTTCCAAGCCTCACCTCACTTCACTACGCCATAAGTGAGACATGGTTAGAAGTTCTTGTTGAGCATATTCGAAATACTTGCTGTGTTTTCATCCGTCGTTGAGTCCCAACCAAGCCATAAAGACTATGCCGCATGTATCCACCCGACCAAGCCATGATACATCAACAAAGTCAACACCAAGACATATTGCATCTACATCAGCAAAGCATTAGGAGATTGAAGTTATGCAAGCCGATCCCAAACAACCTTGCCGACCTCTACACAACGTCGCTACCAATGTCAACTTTCCATAAGCTTGTCCGAGGAATTGGTATGCCTAACTATCATATGCAATGCTTGTAGTTATCATTTGGAAGTTATGTCAAACTCAGGGGGAGTATCCATAAGTATACTCATTGATCTTAATATACTCTTTTTCCCTACGATTAAGAGCATTTTTCCCACTGGGTTTTTGCTACCAAACTAGGTTTTAACGAGGCACCCATCCTAAGTTGATCATACATTTGTGAGCTCTTCTACTTATGTCCAAAAGACGTGTAGTTTTGACTTAATGAAACTTCTCACTTTTCTCCTTAGACTATGGGTTTTTCTCCTACCTTAGGTTTTACCATAGTGAGGTTTTATGAGTTTTACTTTTTATGCATTCTTCTATTGATTTAAGACTCGCATTTGCTCATTGTGTCAATGACTTCATCAACTGTATTTACTTCATCGCTGAAGACCTGATGCGCCATTTACTTGAGTATTTACACACTCAAGGGGGAGTATTGCAATCCTATTAGATTAGGAATATGTTTGTGTAAATCCTAGTATATCTTGGAATATTTCTTATATTCCTATTAGAAGTAGATTACCTATTAAATGTTGTAATCCTAAAGGGAAAGATTTTTATCTATCCTACTACTATAAATAAAGGCACAATGGGGTGATAGCACAATGGGGTGATACAAACACACCCCACAATTACACATCTCTCTCCTCTTCTCCCTATGCCGCACCTCTTTCCATATAGCCTCCATAATTATTCAATAAATTATGCCTACAACAAACTCAAGACAGTAGTTTTTATTTTTTTTATTTTTTGAAAACTGAAAGTAATTACCAAACAAGATTTCAGTTTTCAATTTTCAGTTTCTAGAAAAGTGAAAACTGAAAACCAAATGGTTATCAAACGGCCCCTACATTATTGACTAGGTATTTTTTTAATTACAAACAATTTACTACTCTAAGCTAGACTAAAGAGATGAGAAATGTTTGACCTTGGAACACACTGGGTTGAAAAGAAATGTCTCATTCACTAGATCAATCCACCACTTATTTTTTAGGTATCTTAATATACAATATTATTGTACGGTGATAAAACAATAAACATGAAGTTCAAATTGTCTGTGCATTCTAAGGGGAAAGAATACTTATTCTTACAAGTTTACAAGAAACAGTACGATACTTGTTATACAAGAAAAGCAATTACGATAAAAGTAATGCTACATTTATCACCTATTTGTATCATCTCTCTAATAAAGATAGGGTCTACTAAAACATGATGATTCCATCTTTATTTGAAAGATAGTACAAATTATAGTACAAATTTGTGGCATTTTTGTTACGATAATGTTCTAAGATCATTTATAACACCACCCATAAAAAACTTGAGAAGAAAAAACACAAAGTAAAGCCCACACAGCCCATACGCTTGATGAGATGATTATTAGCACTTTCAATTTTTTACTTTCCTCACAAAACAATAAAAAAATGCGAACTGTCACGGGCCATAAAATCAAGTGTAAAATGGGTTTGATTGTATGTTTCTAAAGAGGAATTCTGAGAAGGAAAAAGAGACTCATTGGATCACCATACCAGTTTATGCTGCTTGGATCGATCTTTTCGCATATCTGAGAGTCCATAGCTGTTTTTGGATGTGAAACTTGGTTCGAGTGTGCTATTGGATTTCGGGTTGGTATTTTTGTGTTGCGATGGTGTTGTTAGATACACCATCTGGTTGTTGCTTATATGGATGGCGAGTCACTTTATATGGCACGGATACACCATCACTCTTATGTACCTGTGGTGTGACATTATTTGAGCTGCGGACTCTGCATGGTTTGAATGTTTCCTTCTTTCCGGGTTTAGGCCCGTGTACTCAGGGATTGGACCTCCCTCTTTAGCTTGGACTGTTTTCCCCCTTCTTTTGGGGCCTTTTATTTTAGGGTCCGGCTTTAATAATATGTAGACCTAGCATTCATGTCGTATTTTTCATTTTCGTGTCGTTTTCTTGACATACTCGATATCTTAACAGGTCGTGTCATGTAACATCCATTAAAGTATACAGGTAATATAACTTGATCTGAAATTGACTCGTTAATATTATCAGGTTATATGACCCGACTTATTACCAATTAAAGAAAATATATTTTAAATCAATAAATAATGAAACTGAAAAACATAATTTGACCCCAAAAAAATTGAAAACATAATACTAATTTTTGTATATGTATATCACATTGTCACATAAATATTACCTCAAAACATAAAAGCATCATTTGTCTTTTAAGTATTACATACCCCAAAATAAGAGTCTAATGAAAAAAATTTAGTACATTACTACAAAATATCAAATGTTCAAGGATATGCAAAATGAAAGGAGTTGCGTTTCAAGGTTGAGGAAACCTTGCACTTTTTTTACGATAAAACAGTTCAATTTTCATCATCACCAACAAAAATGATATTGGTTTATTTTGAACTCCCTTAAAAGTACTATTCATGAGGGTTTGTCTGTTTTTAAAAATTCAAATGACAATGTACCCATCCTCAAAGTATAGAGGATGCTATCACGAGCGTTTGCATTTTATTTTTTTTCATATTTTTCAAACTTGTAAATTAATTATTTTATTTTTTCAATGTGTTTGGTATTTTTAAATTAATTGATATTTTTATTTTTAATGTGTTTTATAATTTTTTAATCTTGCTCTTTATGATTTTATTAATTTTTAAATGAGTGAATTGACGAAAATGCCCTAAAGGCTAGATTGTTGACTTTCGTTGATCGCCTTTCGTGAGGCGTACGAGTTATTATTTTACCATACTCTCAAAGTCCTCAACGAGGCAAACGCGTAGGCGTAAGCAGAATTGAATTTGGAGCTACAATTAAGATTTTATGGAATTCGGAACGCAAGGGCAATCTTGGTAATTTTTCAAGTAGAGATATTTTTCACTTTTGACCAATCCTGTGCTGACACGTGGCAAGATGTCCCCATTTTTTTTGAAGGGTCCTTTCTTGTCCGGTGATCTCTCTCGCACTCTCTCTATTTTCTTCTTCTTTCACTGTCACTCACCTTTACTCCTTTTCCTCATTTTGCCGAGACACATACACACCTCTACACCTACAACCACAGCAAGGCAACACCCCCACCATCATCCCTTGTAATCCTTGTGAACCATTGGACCTAGAAATAGGAGAAAAGCACCTAGAAAACCACCTCCCCGCGCTGCACAGTACAAGCATTGTGCATCACTTTTCTCCGGTGAATTCTAGCCATTTCTGGCCAAGGTAAGCCTCAAAATTGGTCCCTATCATTGTAGATCATGTCTAAGCTCATGATTAGTAAGTTTTTGGGTGGTTTTGGTGGTGTAGGAGCTCGGAAAACACAAAGGAAGGTCATTATTCATTTTTAGAAATTTCGAATCCGTGGTCGTTTGGCCACATTCCAGCCATTTTTCCGACCAACTCTGATCTCCATTGGGCCTCCTAAGGGTATGAATCTCTTCTCTACATTTCTAACTTCTGGTTTTTGGATCATCAAGTTTGGTTAAGTATCGAACTAGAAATTAGCTATGAAATTTGGAAATTTTTTTTTCTAGATTTCTGGAAAATTTCGCCATGACCATCATGCCATTTTAGGCCGTTCCCCCGTCCAACTTCGGCCACTATTGGACCCTGAACTAGCATAAACTTTTTTTTTTCCATATTCTTAGCTTCTAGTGAGCTTTTGAATCATCGAATTTGGTTAAGTATCGAGTTAGATATTAACTTTGAAAGTTGGGATGAAATTTCCCAGATTTCTAGAAACTAGATCCTTGGTCATTTGGCCACTTTCAGGCCATTTTTCCAGCCAACACCAACCTTAACACGGCCCTAATTTGGTATGGTTTTGTTCCCTACATTTCTAAATTCAAAATGGCTTTTAAATCACTGATTTTGGTAGAGAATCGAGCTCGATAGGAGCTTTGGAAGTTGAACCAAAAACCTGCAAAATTTGCAGGAACTCATGAGGAATGCAAGTACGTGCATACTCGCAGGTGCGTGCAGCAGTGCGTGGAGGAGCCCGAGGTCCCTCCTTAGGTTTCTCAACATGGCGAACTCGAATCTGCCTTCTGTTTTCCAAAATTTGACCGTTTTAAAATAGTTTCTTTATTAGCTATACTTTGTATGAAAATGCGTTTATATGTTAATACGTTATGTATTTACATAAATGGCTTCGTTTCTAGATGAAACATATCACAAGGACTCTCGATGCTATGAGACGGGTTCGATTCGACGACATGAAGTGTGAGTGGGTCTTTTCTTTATTTATATATATTGGTTAGTTTCCATATATACAAGCATTAATAAATTATTTATGCGATTGCCATGATTAAATTATGTTTATAAGAAATACCTTATTGTTGGGAAATGATGAAATAATCCTACGGATGCACATGTAAGCTTACTATAGGAGATGCCTTGATTATGTTTCTGGTCATGAATAGTACAATGTTGATTAGAATTGTTGAATGGCTGTGGCATGATTGTATTTATGTAGTATGCTTATCATTATTGCACCCCGGTGTTAGTGCTGGCCTAGGGTCAGGGCCAGTCTTTCACGTGCATGTTCACATCTGCATCGCATGCTCGCCTTGGATCCAAGTAGGTGCCATTCATGTCGTACAGGTTGCAATAGGCAACTCCGACATCTTGTTGTACAGGTTGCAATAGGCAACTCCGACTCGTATGTGACTGCGAATATCGTCAATATTCATGTGATTGTGACACATGAGCGTATATTATGATTACACCCAGTCCTGTTGTATAAGTTGCATTAGGCAACTCCAACTTGTGTGCTAGCATAAAGTGATGAGCATCAGTACAGTCGTACAGGTTGCATTAGGCAACTCAAACCTATGTACTAGCATAGATCGATGAGCATCTGATTTTATTATGCTACTATTGAGAAATTGTGATTGGCATATTTCTAGATTTATTGTTGATTTACATTTGATTTCATACTTATACGTAGTATGATTTTCTGGAAACTGTACTTGTTTTACAGTTAGGGGTTACAATGTTTTCAGAAAGATTTTTATAAAACTTTATTTTCAGGCCCACTCACCCTTATTTTTTGCCCCTCCAGGTTTTAATAGCCGAGCTTTCGTATTGACGAAGATTCTTGGTAAATCTCAGTATACGTGGCTACCTATGATGGTATCATCTTTATCCTACCTTACTGTACTTTACTTATGCTCTGTCATCACGTGTGAAATGAGTTAATTCTCGCTCACATGCGACTCTTATTTTAGGCACTTTTAGGTTTAAATTTATTCACATTTTTCACATCACTACACTTTATGGCTTCGTCACCTTCCAGGTGTTGGCTAACACAGCTCGATTTGGAGTCCTAGTGGACATTTCGGGTCGGGGTGTGTCATACACTATGGCTATTGTAGTTTAAAAAATTAAAATCATCAAAATAACTTTTTACTTAATGTGTCGGAACAGATTATCCGCGTGTCATTCTCATATAAACCTGTTAAGGACCCATTATTAACGAGTTCTTATTGTGTGACTAGATAACGACCTGATTAGTTATCGTGTTGACCCGAAACCTGGCTGCACGATGTACAATGAACAAGCACGATTGATTGATCCTCCAGATCCCCACAAAGAGAATCCTTATCCCCTCAGGAGGGCCAAGAGTTTAAAACCAAGATTCAAAAAATCACAAAGTACCTCACCGCACCTACATTAGAATAACTAATTATTATCCAAACATTGAATTTGATTTGATTTTAGAAGAACGTTGGTGGTCAGGGATGGTTGGGGTAAAGAAAAGAAAAAAGAATGGAATGACCTTTTTACCTCTACTTGTGGATGAGATTTTGATAAAAATTTTCAATTTGTACTATGATTGATAACCAACTTCGCCACAGGGTTAAAATTAATAGTTTTCCACCACATGAGTCGATTTAAAAGTAGTATCTCACCACAGAGATCACGAAAAACATTTGGCCTAAAATTAATAATTTCAAACAAAAGAATGAAACTCCAAAATCTTGATGAATGTGACGAGGGAAAACTTAGTTACATTTTTGTGTACATAGAATACCACCACGTAGTTTGTTTATTTGTTAATATACCTCTAATAAGATATATCAACCATGTCATTTACATATATTATAACTTTATAAATATCAAATGGTAATATTACACGGCAGTGTTCCCGAAACAAACAAAATTTCTCTGAAACTAGCACCATGACCACCCAAATTTTAAATGCAGGATTGTAATCATTTTCTTAACGGCCTCAACCTAACTTCACCCTCGAGGCCAATAGAAGAAAAAAACAGAACTTCACTCTCAATGGCCTCAACCATTTGGCAATCCATCAGTAATTAACATTTTTTAATTCTGGTTTGGAATTATTGATTAATATTGGTCCCCAGAAGCGTGATCTCACTGGACCTCAACTTTGATTGATACCAGATCACTAGACACCGTTCGGTTATACAGAAAATCTTGTCCTATATTTTAGACAAAGATCATGTGACGCGTGGGGAGCTTGTGATCGCCAGAATTTGGAGGATTAACTTGTTAGATGATACTGTCATCTTATAGCTATCCTTATGAACCCAAGATGCAATACGCGTGGGGAACTTCACCCTCATTGATATCATTTAAGCATCAATTTGCTTCCCTATCTATCAATCTTTGATTGTACAAAGTTTGATTTGTGCTTAATCTTAATCTCACTTATTGCCACAGAATGCGATACATAAGCCACTTGTCACATTATCGATGATCAAAATTTGAGAAAGCCCAAGTGTTGCTAACTTTATTACTGTCATTCATTGGTTGCATACAGAAAAAGAAACTTGTCATTCATTGGCGCATGCGATCTGCATAAAATGTTTATTGTTAAACAAAATACATAATCATTGTTTATATCAAATCGAAAAGATAGCGTGTAGAAGCCATGATTAGATTCAAGAATTTAAATCAGTCCGCATAAAAATCCAACTAAAATACCAATTAGTTAATTTAGTTTAGGATAAATCAAAGAAATTGGATGATAAAAGAAATGTCAGGTCGATTCAGATAGGCAAGAAGCAACCAAATTCTATCAACCTCTGAACCCAGAAAGAAGAATGGATTATGGACCACGTATTTTATGAGGTAGAAATAAAATCCTTCTATTTTTTTTTTCAAATGCCCTCCCTACCCAATTATTGGAGTTTTGTCTGTTCAACAATATTGTTTTCGTATGTACCCAAAAATTAACTAATTTGTCATCGTTATATTCTTGTTTCTTTTTCGTTTCTAAATTTATTAAAAATACTATTCTTACTATAATTTTCATATTACATTTGTATCATATTTCTAATAGAGAATAAAGATAAGATCTACATGTGTTAGTGACCCTACCTCTATTAGAAAGATGATGCAAATATGATAAGTGTTACATTATTCTTTTTACTAGCTTAAAGTTGTTCAACTCTTTTGATTTATTAGTTATATTTACCTTTTCAACTATTGAATCATGAATATGTTACGTACATCCACTATGACCTTTGTTTTCGTCAAATCATACATAATCATATGCATATAACAAGTACAAAAGTATGAATGATAATTTTCAATAACAAATTTTATTTAGTCTCAATAAACATGTTATAGTTTTTCGTTGGGTCTCAATGCCACAACTCCAAATCAAAAATAAGTTAATACTAATTATAACGATTATTTATTCCGTTATTAAGAAACTTACACCTCAGTTGGTTAAGAATATTTTCTTTTTGCATAGTCTCGAGTTCAAATTCTCACCCTTCAATATCACTTATATAAAAATTAATAACCGTTGTTATGGGTTTGATTGGAAGAGCTTAACTTCTGGTATGACTTATGAGGCTAGGCTAGGGGACATATGGCCTCCCAAAATGTAACTAGCTAGGGACTAGAATCCAAAATTTGTTTATTTTATGCTTACTGTTTTATCAACTTACTTGGTGATGGTTATCCAAGACTTACGCAAAACCTATTTTAAAGAAGGGATAACTTGATATAGATCCAATTTTGTGAGTCATTAGTAGGATTAGTCCACTTCATTGAAATAGATCCAATAATTGAGATTCCACGTATGCTTATTTGTGATTTGTACCATATTTACCCCTTAGGCTTACAAATTGTAGTAAATTCACAAAAAATTCTTAATTATGGGATTATTTGTGGTTTAACTAATCCCTTAATTGTAGGATTAGTTATAGCCATATAATTACCTCAACCCCCAGTCCGTTTCATCCCTCCTTCTTTCCTTCTTCCACACAATTCCCTTCGTTAGATCATGGAATCAATCCTCTTCTTTTTTGTCTCGTCTTTTCATGGGTGATATTTTTGTGTTTTCCCTCCAAATTCGTTCCTTTAATGGAGGTATATTATATCATATTTATATTTCTATGTTCCGCCATGTAGGTTTCCAGAATTTTTCTTCCGATATAATGGGTAGTTTATTTTTGATTTGCAGGTAGATTATATATGCTTTGTAGGTATAAAGCATCTTTCTTCCTACACAATAGGTAGTTACTAAATTATATCGGTTTTGTTTTCTTCATAAATAGTAGGTACTTATTAGATAATATTTTAGTATGAGTGTTTAAATATTCAAAATTTAAAAACTGAATAAATGATAAAGAAATTTAAAGAAATTAAATATTTTTATCTGAAGGGGCAAAATTGATATCAAAATATGTAATTGGATAACTGGACTCAGTCCCAAAAACTACCTATGTTTTTGGACCTAGATCCAAAAGCCCCTTTAAAGAATTGAAACAAAACCTATTTTAAAGAATTGAACATTTATGTATGGCTTTTTAAGCTAAAATGGTCATTGAAATTTGTATAACTCTTCACTTTGGTCCACTGAGATTTGCAATCAATAAAAATGGCTATTGAGATTGTCCACCATCAATCATTTTGGTTATTGGGTGAAAAATTATGTTAAAAAGGATCAAAATTACAAAATTATCCTCAATTTAATAAACAATATGCCAAAATAATTTGATCAAAATTGAGGGTATTCTTATCATTTTATTCCTATTTTATGGAGATTTTTTTGCAGAATGATCAAAATGATTGATTGTAGACAAACTCAAGGACTAATTCTATCTATTTCAAATCTCAGTGACCAAAATAAGGAGTTATGTAAATCTCAAAGATTATTTTTAGCAAAAAAGCCTTTATGTATTGTTGCTATTTTTTGGAACTTTTTTTACAGAAAAATGGAAAAGATATGAATAAGTAGGAATTCTTGTAACATATACAAATACTACAGGTGTGGGAAGTTATGAGTAGGTACTTTTAGAGCGGTGAACAAAAAATGCAGGAGTCATTTGTTTTTTTTCTAGAAAAGAATTATTTTCATCATTTCGGCTAGATTTTTTGTTCATTTTGGCCTGCTCTCCTTCTTGCCTATGCTTAAAGACTTTTGGGTTAAGCTACAATCTCATTGCTTTTAAAAGATTAAGAAACAAAAAGAAGTTGGTGATGGAAATCAAACTTGAACTGAAAACTTGTTGTATACACGTTGAAGACAAACTCTTCTACATGCTCATGAAAACAAATTCGTACAATACACATCAAAAACACTCTTTTTCCCTTGCTAATGCATGGAAAACAAACTTGTACAATACATATTGAAAACAAACCCTTTTCTCCTCTGTCTCTGAGGTTTGAAACCCGTTTACATATATAGCCGATTAAGAGGAGGTACATTATATAACCGACGCCTACCCAAATTTTCGTCAAAGAACTAAATGCACTAACCATTATATCATCTACTTATCACACTAATCTAATTACCTATAATCTAATTACCTAGCCCTTTTGTACCTAATTCGACCGCACCAGTTCCATTGTTGCCATCGCCATGATTAACTTGGGTTTTCGTTTCGAGCATTGCATTCGCTTCTCTCCACTTGTGGAACTTACCAAACAAGATCTCCATATCTTCTAGGGTTCTACCTTGGGTCTCCGGGTACATCGTATAAAAGAACACCCATGCAACAGCAGCAATTCCCCCGTAAAGAAAGAAGGCCCCACCCATTGTGATGGCCTTATACAACGAAATAAACGTCATTGAGAGGACCCCACTCACCACCCTATTCATCGCCACTCCCATACTGCAGCCTTGGGCACGTAGCTTCAACGGAAAGATCTCAGAGCTATAAACCCAAGTGATGGGCCCCAATCCGATAGAGAAGAGCGCGGCGTACGCTATTACCATGGTCAAGCACAGTGCAGTAGTCCACGTCATCTTAGCCCCGTGGTGTTGATCAATGATTGTAAGGGCGACACCAAGAGATCCGAGGGAAAATACCATCCCGGCAACACTAGATAGAAGCAACGGACGCCGTCCGATCCGATCAAGCAAAAACGTGGCGACCAGGATGAAAACGGTCTTGGCTAATCCAACGGCTACAGTACAGAGTAGCTTGTGGTCGGAGTTGGTTATCCCAGCCTTCTCAAAGACTCTTGGGCTGTACAAAACGATGGCGTCGATGCCCGAGGCCTGCTGAAAGAAATGGATACCGACGGCGCAGATTAAAATGTGACGAACTGCTGGTGTTGGATGGAGGAGCAACTCTTTCCAGACGTCTTGGCCTTTGCTACGTTTGGGGACCTGAACGACGTCGTCGGTGCAGTGCTCGGGGATTCCAGCAGCTTCTTTGATGTCCGCTAATCGAAGCAGAGCCTCCTCCTTGGAGTCTGAGGTTTTGTTGAGAACACGTGTCGCGTCCCCGAGCCGTCCCTGCATGACGAGCCAGCGCGGCGACTCCGGCATGGCTAAGACGCCTACGGCCAAAAAAACGGAGGGGACTGCGCCGATGCCGAGCATGAGCCGCCACCCCAAGTTAGTTGGGAGCTTCGAGAACGCATAGTTGGACACGTAGCCCAACAGTATCCCTACATTGACAAAGACCTATTATGCATTCACACAAATCAAATTAGTGAAAACATAATCAATTCATAATAAAAACAAAATCAATTCATATCTGCATTCCACAATTTTTTTTCTTTAACTAATAAATCATTTCAAGCTTTTCAAAAGTGATTTTCGCATCATAATTCTTTTTTTTTCTAAAATATTTTATTCATCTAGCATGTAACTTTCTTTAAATTTATACAATTCATATGTCAAAAAAGAGTAGTGTTAGGTAGATTGAGTTTGTAGACTAAATTTGCAATTAAATAATGTGTCCGCAATAAGAAATAAACACGTTAACTAAATAATAATCTAATCATCAACTTACATATCATTTAGTTTACAAATTTAGTCATCTTAACTATTACCCCAAAAAATAATAAGAGTGCATGAGAGAAAAAATTACAAATAATTATTTACAAAATTTTGTTTCCCTAACATTACCCAAGAAAATGAGTGCATGAGAGAAAAAAACATTGCAAATAACGCGTTATCCAACATTATCCTTTTATAATTATTCAAATTTTATAGTAATAAACTGTTAATTTTGTTTTCATGTGGAGGGAAAATAAAAGAAATTCATGAAAAACCACATAAAAGAAAAACTCCTGACATATCGAAATTCTTATATTTGTATAATGTTTTTAAGAATAATGTTGCACATACCACCCATTCGTTTGTAGCACCTTTCTACTAGAGGTAGGGACCACAAACTCCTTTCTACTAGAGGTAGGGACCACAAACTCATGTGAGTGCCATTTCTTTTAGAAAAATAGTACAAATAAATGATAAGAATAACATTTTTGTTTCTTAAAAATATTGAAGGCATGCATGTGGTAGGTCTCACCAACATGCTGCCTGTGCTTTGGGTTGTGAACTTGTGATAAGCTCTAGTACTATGGCTGTTTCGCTTTATGGAAAATGATATAGCGGTTATGGATGCATATAAACCAACCTCTGGGAAAGATGTGAGGAACCCACGAGATGACGCCGGCGAGACCTCGGCGGTATAGACAGGAGCGATCATGAGGGCGTACCCGATGCCGATCCCAGCTACAAACCGGCCGACCATTAGAAAGGCATAGTTTGTGGAGAATCCCATAAGAAGAGCTCCTGCAAAGAAAATAGCCCCGGCAAGGACTATGGTGTATCGGCGACCAATCCAGTCGGATGTTCTTCCGGCAGCGGCGGAGCCGAAGAGGGAGTAGACGTTTATAATACCGAGTAGGATCTCAATTTCCACGTCGGAAATTTTGAGGTCCTTTTGTATGTAGATTGCAGCTCCACTCATCACACCAATGTCTATAGATATATAAAACCAACATCAACACATGCAAAAATATAACTTTTGGAATATTAATGACAACGAATTGCTTCAATAAATTAAGAATTTTTTCTCGCGACTCAATTTTTATATTTATCATGTATTTTTATCATTAAAGCAAAAGTGTATACGACTACTTTGGAGGGTTAATAATAATTAAAAACAATCTAAGGAAGCAAAATTTGAAGTACATATCCTTACCATAACCCAGCAAGATTGAAGTCATGGAAGCCAAAATGGCACAACCAAAGGCGTACTTATTTCTTTTGGGTTTCTTTGGGGGATCAAAGTCTGAGAGGCCTCTGCTCCCGGTTTGTTGGCTGAAGACGGCATTATCTTCAGCTCTCCGGCCGGCCATCTTCTCAGAGAAAAGAGATGTGGAGGGGAAAAATAGATCCTAATATTTGCAGAGATGTAATTTAGGGCGAGAGAGAGAGAGAGAGAGAGAGAGAGAGAGAGAGAGAGAGAGACTTAAGAGGATATCAGATGTTTTGAGAACTTGAGATGATGAGGGCTTAAATAGACGTTAAAAAAGCTAACATCACTTAATAGCATATAAATAGATACGTGAGTCACAACTCCTCTACTAGCCACTCTGCATCTCTCTCTCTCTCTTCCCACCAGTTCTTCCATCCCTCTAACATATTCGTCCAACCAAACGACAAAAAATTATAAATTAGTAACAGTGTTTCTCCCGTTTTCATTTTCTACGTGGGGCGATGACCAGCCGACTCTTTCTTTAAAGATAACGTACTCATTTTGGATAAGAGAATTTACATATTTTACCGCAGCCTCAATTTTGAAATATTTTTAAGGAAAAATTAAGTTTATATCCCTCATTTTGCTATTCTCTTGATTAAAACCTTATTCATTTTTAATTTTTTATCAAGGTTATTGGGTATTAATAACATCATTAATTATTTCAATAATAAAATAATTTTATTTCTAAATATATTCATTCGGTTAAAAATGTTACAATTAATATATTTATATTTATGGCTAAATTTTTTATCATATATTTTTATTTTTAGTTTGTACCTATTTTTAATTTGCAAACCTTTTTTAATTTGTACCAATTTTCTTTTCAGTTTTAATTTGTACACATATATTAATTTCTTTTTGTGCCCTTATTTTTTTAAAGTTTTATTTGTATTTGTGTCCATGGC